AGGTCTCCCATGCCTGCACTTAGCTTCTGTCACACTTGTTGACTCACAGGGGAGAAGGCTGGACTCATTGTTTTTGGACATTTCTAACAATGTCCTGGAGCTTGAATAAAGGCATGAATTTTCTCCTCTAATGTTCCTTTAAAAGTAAGAGCATCCACATGAGCTAGTCAACTTATTAATTTAATAGGTATTTTTTCTGGCTTCTATAAGGAAGATATGGGAATGACAGGATATTTAGGTGAAAGGTATCTTAGAGATCACTTTTTTAAACTTAATTCCATTATCTGGACATAAGCTTGACATACGATAGCACTGGAATGAGTTTATGGGTATCACAATGCTTATCTCATCCCTTGGATGATTTTTAAAAAGGTTTCGGTGACTCATAGAGCAGTAGTGAATGACTAAACATCAAATTGGCAAAAAGAACCACAATTAGATCATGGAATAAAGTTAAAGCACTTTTCTTGGTTCTCCAAAGAGCAATTTAGTTGAAAAATTAAGCAATTTTATAGATATGGTTGAAATTAGAATAAATTCAATTTCATTGGCATATCACTAAATTTAGGAATAGTTGAATTATTCAAATAACTGCACCAATTAGAAATCAGTATTTTAAGATATTATTTTTAATGAGTCCCCATAGAAAACAAAAGTTTAAATAAGCTAACTAAACTATATTCAAAGGTGAATGTGTCATTTTTCATCATTGGTAATTAAATCAGATTTTTGTACATTAAGCCTGAAATGAGATGCATTGCAAAGATGGTAAACATGCTTTGCAAACTGCAGAGTGATATAAATGTAGAGTATTATTTATTATTATTATTATTCCAATTTCTCACAGGATCCAGCACATACTTGGCATGGTTAATATTTGCTGTGGTTAATGGGGCCATCACCTCATGTTGCAAGACCATAAGACTCCTTATAGATATTCCTGCCAATGTGTCCTGCTTATAATTATTTCCTTAAATGGTTTTGGCTGGGCCACTACGTCACCCTTTGCTCTGCTCTGAAATGTCCTCCAACTAATTCTCTACTTTCAGAGAGAAAAGAAAGGGAGCCTATTCTACACACTGCTGACTCATCAATAAGGGACATATGTGCATATGTACATGGCTTGTGTTATACCTGCCTACATATGTATTAAGAATTATTCTCAAGTCATTCCAAAGCTTGTTGTAGTCCTCAGAGGCAGTCATCAGTTCTTATATTCCTACCGTAGTTCCACTTCCTAGCATGGTGCCAGGCATGCCATCAGAATAAATATTTATTGCTGAAAAAATGTCTCAGGAAACCCAGTAAACCCTGCCTTCACTCACATGAATGGTTTCATTTTTCTGTGCAGAGACAATACATGTTTTCTCAGTGGGTTTAATGACAGAGAAGCAAACAGACTTCGAAAAAAGTGCATGTAAAGCAAATGTGAATACAAAGGTATATGGAATATGTCCTTTGGGAATAAATTACATTTTTTTTTCAAGAAATATTGATTCTTGGCTTAAGATTAGGTTAGTGTTTTATAAACTGTACTTGAATCAGTGTTCTTTATTTCAGAGTAATGGGGTTCAGGTGTAGCATGGTCTCTAAATAATGGAAGGGGGGAACTCATTTTAGCCCCAAATCCCTACCCTCTTCCTGATGTTTCAGGAAAGCCATTACAAAGAATAACATTAAATGGTTGGAGTTTAACTCTCCTCTCTCCACATTATTATCTGATGCAAATTAAAAGAAATCTAACCTAATCTTTAGTCTCCAAAAACACTCACGTCCTAAATAGTTAATAGTGGGCTACGGAAAATCAACTCCTGCATATTCCTCATTTAGCTAATATTTTCCAGAAACAAGCAAAGAAACCTGTCAGCATCTATTCCTAGGGCTATTTGTACAGCAATAGAACATGTTGTCTTAAGCACTGAGCATGCTGACTCAGCAGGTCAAAGACCCGGGCCCATGGCTCGCTGTGTTTGGGGGAATTACAATCATTACACGGGTTGCTACTAGAGGAGATGAGTGAGGCATACTGGGTTTCTGCCGGGGTAGTGCTTTGTGCTGCCCGATTCCTGGTGTTCTCTCTCAGGCCCCAGGACCACTCTTCCTAGTTAACTCCCTTTCAGAAGCTTACTATTCATCTTCTGCCTCACATCCATTAGGTTGGCAACCATAAAAAAAACAGAGAATAAAAAGCGTTGATGAGAATGTGGAGAAATTGGAACCCTTACACACTCTTGGTGGGAATGTAAAATGGTGCAGTCACTGTGGAGAATAGTATGGTGGTCCTCAAAAAATTAAAAATAAAATCACCACATGATCCAGCAATGCCACTTCTGAGAATAATATCCCCCAAGAAAAAAATGAATGCAGGATCTTGAGGAAATATTTATAAACCCAGTTTAGAGTAGCATTATTCACAATAGCCAAAAGGTGGAAGCAACCCAAGTGCCCAGTGACAAATGGGTAGATAAACAAAATGTGGTGTATACGTACAATGGAGTATTATTCAGCCTTAAAAAGGGAGGACATTCTGACCCATGCTACAACATGGATGAACCTTGAGAACATTATGCTAAATGGAATAAGCCAGTCACAGAAGACAAATACTGTAGAATTCCAATTATATGAGGTACCTAGAGCGTCAAAGTCATAAGGAAAAGTAAAATGGTGGCTGCCAAGGGCTGAAGAGGGAGGGGGAAAGGGGAGTCATTATTTAATGAGTACTGAATTTCAGTTTTGTAAAATGAAAAGAGTTCTGGAAATTGATGGCAGTGACAGTAGCACAATAATACGCATGCACTTAATACCATTGAAATGTACACTTAAAAATGGGTAAGGTGATGATTTTATATTCTGTGTATGTATTTTACCACCATTTAAAAAAGGTATTAAAGTTTACTGCTCATCCAAAGTGTACCTACAGTTGATTGGAAGTATCAAAGCAGTGTGACTGCTTTACAGGGTCAGCAAACATGACATGTATATCACCAATTCCCCCTTCCCATGGCCACGACAAACATCATTAATTTCCTCTTGAGCCCAGATGCAACATCATAACCTTTCTCAATGGAGGCCACTACCAAATGTTGTGTTGGTGTGTCAGCTAGGTCAATGTAGGAGAAAATTGTGATGGTTGATGAAATCTATGCTAAAGAAAACAAGAGCACATAATATAAGACCTTATAAAACAGGAAAAATCAACATGAACTTGACATATTAAGAAAAAGTTTCTTTTCAGCTCTGTCTGAAAAAACTCCCAATAACTAAAACAGAAGCAGTATCTCCGGCCAATATCACCACGCATTTGAACCCGTGTAATCCAGGTTCAGGGCTTTTCTACAAAAAAGGAACAGAACTATTTGAAGAGGAATTGATTTCAAGTCCCGTGACAGGAAAATTAGGAGTGGGTCTAGAATACCCTGTTGTTGCCAGAGAGCAAAGTTGCTGTAAAAACCACTGGGTTCAGTGCCAAAAGGGCAAAGGAGAAACCTATGGGGGGCTTCTACTGCCCAAGTTATACCAATTTAAGCAAAAAAAATCAGCAGCAGTAGCATCATCAACTGGACAACTTACAGAAATGGAAAAAGTTAATATTAAGTGTTAACAAAGGTAGTTGTAATATAAAAGGGAAACGGTTTAGAATTTTTTTGCTGTTACTGAGTTACAAGGCATTAAACACATAGCTAGTTTGTTTCTACTTAATACACAGACACTCTTAAGCATGGGTTTATTATCAGGTATGAATGTGAACCTGTTTCTATCTATAGCAGGACAGATTGGGAACCTGTAAATGGGCCAAGCAGTCCTTTCAAGATTAAGAGATATACCATGAACATGGTGGCTTTTATGGTCTCAGATTACAGCAAGGAATAAGCGAAACCCATCAGTTAATTGCCACTAATGACTATACATAATAAACAACAAAAAGAGAGCCCAATGGTGCGTCTTCTGTATGTCACACTCTCTCACCTGCCCCAGGAGAGAGCAGTGACCTACTCTCTCAGCTTCCAGAGAAGGAAATCTCTAGATGACTCTACTAATGAGACACTGTAAGGTTCCAGTTACACCAAAGAGGTCAATATACCACAATGACAGAAAAATGAGGTAGGTTTAAGCCATCTGTTCACAACTTCTGGTAAAGACAGTGAGTTTCAGAAAAAGCATATATCTATCTGAGAGAGATGTAAAATTTCTGTGAGGTAACTAGCGCACTTTGTGATAAAAAGGGTTTGAATCACTGGACTGGGCAACTGGATCCCACATCCTGACCTGAATTCAATAGCAACTTAGAACTTGCAACCTGACATGGTCTTTTTCTTTAAGGGTATGGTAAAAGTTCTAAAATCCTAGGAAGAAGTAAGTTTTATATACTTATTTCACATATATTTACTAAGGTAGAGTAAAAATTGGACCCCAGGAACATGTCATAAGGATAAAAACATTAGTTTTGTAATTACTGGGCTAGCATAATATGTGCTTTTTTTTGTCTTTTTAAGGTATTTAGATTATTTACAGAAATTTGACATGGTCGATTTACAATTCTTAATCAAGTCCTTAAAATTATTTGTCATGGTGCAATCACAGTGAATGATTAAGGAAATTTGCTTTGTTAAATCCACAAATTTTGATGACTTTGTTGAATAAGTACTATGTGAGTATTTACAGGAGTGTTCATTATATTTAAAGAAAGACTGCTTAATTCATAAGATCATAAATTGGACATTAAACAATGCCAAAATGGTCATAGTGTTCCTCCCCAGGCACAAAAGCCCACTGGTCACTAAAGACCATCAAAAAATGAAACTAATTTGCCATTCTAGGAGACTCAGACATGAAAAATGATTGCTATTCAAATGAAAGATACAACATGCTGAATCTTTCCTATACAGATGGTACTGATTTCTCATGTTTGGTGGGGCTTGCCTTTCGGATCACCCTTCCAGATGTAGTGAAAGTTTCTGCTTCCCAGCTTCATTGCCAACCCAGAGCTGTCAACCGCATACCTTTTGGCACATCTGTCCTTCCTCCTGGGTTATCATCTTTTGTGGAATCCTTCAGGGTTCCATACTCCTTTTCCATCTTAGCTGCTTCTTCCTTGGTACTATCTGTTTCTTCATGACTCTTCTCAGACGGTGCTGTAATCAGATTGTGTGCTGTTGTTACAACTCTTTTCTTATCTATTAACTAATTCCTAATGTAGAAACAAACTCTATTGAAAAGGTACAGTTTGAGGTCAGATCATTTTTTTGAGCTGAGAAGCTTTTATTGATTACATTGTCAACTCCCTTCCACCATTTCACAGAAGAGGAAACTGAGGCCTAGAAAGGGGAGAGATGTGCCTAAGTTCACCCACTGAATTAGCAGAAGAGTTGGGCCAACCTCCACCTTTCCAGATTCTAGTTTAGGGTTCTTTCCCTTCTGCCACACTGTGTCATGAGAGTGTGGATTCTTTTCCTTACTTTGATCCAAGTAGGCAACCAAGTAGGATATGACAGGATTCAAAGTAAACTTGAGTTTTCATTCCAAATTAAAATAACTCTTATAGTTGCCCTACCTATCCTTGATGTTGTATTTTTGAAGAGCAGTTTATTGCTCAGAGTAGCACCTAAGAATTCAGGCAGATGGCAGTCCTGCTTTCCTTCTGCATTCTTCTTCATGCGTCCTTAGCCCTGGTCACCCCAATGCAAAGATGAGAATTGTACCCTTGTGGTCAAGAAGGGGTAACCATTGCTCACTTCTCACTTAAAAATAACTGTATTTCTTTCTAGCAATCCTATATTGAATTAAAAAATCACAAACTTTAAAGTAGGCAAACCCTTGAAAACATCCTTATTGTCAATAAAATAGGGAACCTCAAGCAGCCTAACAATAGCTTTTTTTTTTTTTTACCATAGAAAAAAATAGGAAAGAATAAAGAAATAAATCAGTTATTCTCTCATTATGCAAAATATCCACTGCTAGAGCTGTGGTCTCTCTGTATATTTTGATGCACTTTTTTTCATACTTGTAGTACAATTTTGTTCCTTGCTTTTGTCAGTAATGTTATTATGAAAGGATGTTGCCACATTATTAAAAACTACTTGCAAACATCATTTTAAAGGGTTATGTATTATGCCATCAAATATAGGTACATAACTTCTGTGATAGGAGCATAAAATAAGTATGAGAACTGGAGATCTTTTCTCTTTCGCTCCTCCCTCCCCCTGTGAAAGCTTTGTACAGCTTGGCTCCATGGCGGTCACCATGCTAAGCAGGGTGATGGATGGGGATGCAGAAGGGAAGAAACAGAGAAAAGGGATAAATCATACTACACAGGGACACAGACTATCGCAGAGGGAAAGATGGATCTGGGAGGGGACAGCAAGTGGACAGGGCAGCAGAGAGTAGACAGATGACCAGGGGCAGTAGTCTGGAAAAATGGTGATATTGGGGAGAGGAAAAGAGACCAGGAGGAGAATTTTAGGAAGAATTGCTCAGTTTTGTGATGGAGTCCTCTCCTTTCCCCACCAGTCACTTCCTAAGAAGCTTCAGTAAAGATCTATATTTCTTTCAGTGCTTTTTGAGACCAGATTTTGGTGCTGAGACTAGACACAAAATAGCCAAGATTATAGCTACTTAATCCGATCAGAATCGTTAATTCTGATTTGAAAGCTTTAATTCTTTATCAGTGTTTATAGAAGGTCATTATTTACCATTCACAAGGGTTATTGTGCTAAAAGCTAGAAAAAGAGTTAAATAAATAAATCATACCTGGGAAAAGCTTGCTTTTATTGTCAGTAACATTTTTTTCTAGCTTATTCTTAGTCTGAAGAGCAATTGTTTCATCCAAGTTTTCTGGAGGAAGGAGGGGAAGAAATATAATTTTATTTCCTGAAAGATACCAAACTTTTACCAAAAATGTTTAGATCTTACCAGAAGTATCACAAAGCAATTCCACAGCATTAACACTGCTAATAAGATGCTTTGACATGAATTGTATTTCTAAAAATTATGGACTCTCGATATGGAAAGGCATACTATTTGAGATCCTCAAGTTCAGCCTCCTGCTCAGTTAACTGCAAAAGCCCTTCTATATCTCTGTGACCACTGCTAGAACATGTCCAAAGTTGGGGCCTATAATGGGACCTCTGGTCTTGGCCTATTCAACACCTTCTGGAAACGACACCTTGATTTTCCTTTGGAGAACCCAGACCTCTTCCACTCTCAGCACATTCGGCTCACCTGGAGACTGAACAACCCAGGCCTGCCTCCTCAAGGTCTTCTACCCTTTGGGCTACAGTGATTGGTTCAAGGAGGAGCACATGACTCAAGCCAGGCCAATGAGATTCAATGTTAGTAGGACCATTGGGAGAAAGAGGCTCCTTCTGCTAGGATTGCTGTACTGTGAGGATGAGACTGGGGCTGTGCCAGCCATCTTGTTCCCATAAAGGAACAGTTTGGTATGAACCAACATAGGGAATGTCAGAGCTGCGAGATGGGGAGGGATAGATTCCTCACACTCTTGGTGAATTTCACAAACCTGATGCCAAGCTACCTCACCCCTTGACTTTTTAGTTACATAAGGCAACAAATCCCCTTTTCACTTAAATCAACAGTTGAATTTCCATCATTGAGGGTCCTCATTAATTCATGAGGCAGCCAATTCTATTGTTATGTGGTCTTAAGGGTGAGAATTTTCCTACTCATATTCAGCTGAAATCTGATTCTTGTTGTCATCTGAATTCTGCTCTTTGGAGTGACATCATGAAAGTGTTACAAAACAGGAAGCTACACTGTGACACCTTAAGGCAGACAATATATCAGAATTCACATTCTTTGTGATCAGTTATTCCATCAGCCACGTATCCATCTCACTAACAAGGCAGGCTTTGTTTTGCTATTTGCAAACAAGCATTTCTTTGTAATTCATCTATAAAAATTCCATTATTGCTCTGTATTATTTCTCTCCAAGGAAAACTCCTCCTTCCACCCTACTCCACCCCTCTTTTGAGAAGAAAATCCGTATATTCTATTATATGATGCATTCTGTTTTCTCCTTTGGCATAGCAACTAGAACTGGCAACCTTTGTAGTCGCCAAACATTGTTGGGACCAGAACAGAGATGGATGTCTGGTCATTCCTTGTCACTCACTGAGAAAGGAAGACAGCAAGCTAATCAATCCTCTCTATTCTACCCATGCTGTTTGTGAATCTTTGGGGCCTGAGGTTGGACCTCCACCCTAGTAGAAGTCAAAGCCAATGTATTTATACAGAAAAATTCTTTAAAACATAATTCATTTTCCAATTGTAAAAATTATACATATATGCATACAACTTCTCATATGTTTGTGAAAATGAAAAAAACAGAAAATCATAAAGAAGAAAGCTAACATTTATTATGTCTAGATGTTTTGGTATATTTCCTCCCAACTTTCAATACATAAATCCATTTTTAAGCACCAATATTGTGGTCATATTCTAAGTGGCTTTAAGCTTTCAACAATATATCATGAACATTTCTCCATTACTGAGTCTTTGTAAACAATATTTATATTGTATAAGTAATAAGATATACAATTATTAAAACACGAACATTTAAAAATAAAATGTAAACAATCTATCATAAAAATAAATAATTAATTTTAGATATTCCCCTTTTATGGAGTATTTATTTCTACTGTTTCTAGAAACCAATGCTGTCCAATGGAACTTTTTGTAATGATGGAAACAGTTATTTCTATATTGTTCAATATGGTAGCCATCTGCTACATGTGGCAGTTGAGCACTTGAAATTTGCCCAGTGTAACTAAGAAACTAGACTTTAAATTTTGTTTAATGCTAGTTGCTTTTATTTAAATATCAATTTGTGGTTAGTGGCTACCATATTGGACAACACAACTATAAATAGTAGTGGAAATACCTACCTTGCACATAAGCCTTGTAGCATCTCCAATTTATTTCCCCTTTAGGATAAATAATGTCTTAAGTGTGGAATTTCTGAATCACAAGGTATTGATGTAAAACAATGCTTGATTTGAAACAAAGTCTCTGATCTACTGTTAAGTGAGTAAAGTAGGCCACAAAGCATGTAACAAGAACCCATTTTTTGCGAAAAAAGATGAAAGAAAGAAATGGCATACGTATATATGTGTGCACGCACACACCCACAGAGAAAAATATCTGGAAGGATATATAAACCAGAATATTACCTGGGTGCTTGTATTATGAGTAATTTTTTACTTCTTTTTAACATCTTTTAGCATTGACTTTTTTAAAAACAGGCTCTTTTATAAAGAAGAAACAGTAAAACTATTTTCAAGTAGAAAAAAATTGAGTTTGTACAGAATAATTCTGTATTACTCTGTCCCAAGAGATTGTTCTCTTCTTTTTAATTCTCCTCCCATCAGAGATCAGAGTAAGGGGCCAAGAGGTCAAGTTACCCAAAAGATATCAGGGATGAATGGTATTTGTTAACAACTAAATGAAGCAAGAAAACCAAAGGCTTTTTTTTCGTTTTAAATCAACCTTCATGCGGAATAAAAAACATCCAAACTTATCTATAAAGCTTGAGGACTCAAGGATCTGCAAACTTTTCTGTAAATATTTTTGGCTTTGTGGCCATATGGTCTCTGTTGCAACTACTCAGCCCTGCCATTGTGGTAGAAAATCAGCCAAAGATAGCACAAAAACAAACAAGCATGGCTGGTTCCAATAAAACTTCATTTATGGATTCTGAAATTTGAGTTTTATATGGTTTTCTTGTGTTGTGAAATACTGTTCTTTTGTTTTTTTTTCAGCCATTTCAGAATGTAAAAGCCACTCTCAGCTTGTGTGCTATACAAAAATAGGTGGTGGGCCAGATTTACCTGGGCAGTAGTTTACTGTCCCATTGTAGATAACAAAGCCTTTTATTATACAAATACAGAAACTGAGGCACAGCAAGGTGAATGCCTTCCCCTGCAGCTGAGCTGGGACCAGAAGGCATAATTTCTGATGCCTGTTCAGTGCTCTTTTCATCCTTGCCACACAGACCTCACTGGTGAAAGTCAAGACTCCTTTAGTCCCTACTATCCAAACACGCAACTGGAAAAAAGTCAAACTTCAATAAAATTAGCTCCATGGGGATTATTAGAAAATGTTAGTAAGACAAAATATAGTAAATGTGAAATGTCTGTACTCCAGCTGGATCTATAAAGAGTTGAACACCCAGTTAATTTTATTTGTATGCATTATCAAGCTGGGCAGCTCTGGTTACCCAAATGATTTAGGCTATTTAGGGCATAAATTATCAAATTAGTGAGGTAATTATTGCCACATCTCTAATTTACTTTGCACAAGGAAAACCACCACAATAAAAATAACACAAACAGGATTCTCACCAAGGTAGGAAACACCTTCTTCTGGAGATATTGTGCCATATTTTACCATCATCTTCACAAAGTCAATAAGCGTTTTCATGATAGTAATCAGTGTTTCTTTTTCTTTTGCCTCCTTTTCTATATCAAAGGACAAAATAATAATTTTTTAAAAACAGAGTGTAGCCTCATCTTTCAATGTCAATTTATGAAGTACAGCATCTTATTGAAATATTTCCCCATTTATTCATCTGTTACATATGTTTAATTTACAAAAAGCCTAAGCCTTGATAGGGAATACAGAACACTATACAGGTGTACCAAAAGTTTTCAGATGGGCAATTATAACTCCTCCAAAAAGGTTTACTTTATTATTCTTTTCAAGAATCAAAAAGGTTTACTTTAAAATGTTTAATTAAGACAGTAGATGATAAAGAGAGTTTGCAATCCAAGATAATACGGACTCAAAGAGCAAGTTAGAAGATTGGTGACCCATTACATTTTCTTTACTCTGTCTTTCTGTTTTCGAGGGCAAGAACAAACTGTTTTCATTCATCAAACTTAGTATTTGAAAATAAGAAACACATGTATCTTTATTTTTTAAATGTAAGATGGATTTTTCTAATAGTGTATATTGCTTTCATTTGAAAGAATACATGCCTATAGTAAAATTATTCCAACAGTACAGAAATAAATAATAGGTGAAAGTAATATTCTCTAGCCACCCTCCACCCCCTGCCCCTGCCAAACCCCTTCTTCCTATACATAAGCACCGTTAACTGTTTCTTGGGAATTCCATGTTTGACATACTTTTCTGCATCTTGACAGAACAAGACAACCAATGATTCCATAGTAGTTCAGTGTATGTATCAATTCTAAAATCAGAAAAAAAAGTCTATTTCCATTGTTGAAGAAGAGAAAAACTGAGATGCTAGAAGAGTCCACTCTGCTGGGAGTGAAGAGGTCGGGGAGAGACCCTGGACAAGGGCTGGTAAATAACTTCAGCCATCATATATTTTTGTTCAAGGTCACATCCATATAGGTGTGCAGTATCGTGGTCATGCTTTTCACTGAGAAGAAGTGACTCACCAGGATGACAGAGGTTCTGATCTAGGCATCTGCCAACCAGTGGGGCTAGATGGCTCAGAATGGGCTTCAAGATGTACAAGCCCTGCAGACACCAGCAGAGGGACACTGCCATCTGGTCAAGGTCTGCATGTGAAGGAAAAGGATGTTCTCCAGAAATGCAAGCTCACTCTAAGGTCACTTCTTGGAGTAATATGCTACAGTTACTGAAATCTTTATTACAAATGTTCAATCCAGGGCTGAATCTTTGAACAGGGAGAGGGAAGGTCATAAGGCAGTGCAGGACATCCTGGAAAACAACAGAAAATCTGCCTATTACTATCATCCTTGTAGAGCAACTAAAAATAAACATGAACTGAAATCTTCAGGTAACTTATTTTGGTGCACATAGAAGAGAAAAGAGTAAGACATGTTAAGGACTTGCTTTTTTTTTTTTTAATTCCCAAATGTTCCTGATCTGCTTTGAGTTCCTAACCTGCTTTGTAGTCCAATATTTAGTTCACTTTAACTCATTTGAGGATTGAAGCTGACAATGTCTAGAAAGCAAAGTTCCGAATCATTTAAAAAATGATAAATTATGTTTCACATTCCCACTAAGAGAAGAAAATGAAATTTTTAAAAAAAAAACAAGGAAAGATTTGCAGTAAGAGTTGAGGCTGGACTGGGTCAGGAAGGGACACTGATTCATCACCGCATCTTCAAAGGGCTCACTCTGATGCCCTAAACACAGCACAGGTTCAGTAACTGTTGGCTGAACAAATAAATGAGTCCTCTGTTAACAAGAAGATTAAATTATCCAGAAACCCCACCTTTCCTGAGTATTCTTTCCTAAATATTTCCATGACTAGTATATTTCTTTTGAAAAAAATTGTGAACTCTTTCCCCTGAGGTTACCATATATGTCATTGAGGATTGCCTTGGGAAACTGAAAACAGGAACAAAAAAACCCCACCCCTACATTTCCTGGAATTCACGTTTCTGTTCCACATGGTGAGAAAATATAGTGTTTACCTGAATCGATACTTGTCAGTAGTGCATAGAAATTTGGGAAGTATTGGAGTTCCTCAAAATTCTCATCACTGTAGGCTTTAGTTCTCCGTTCCAAGCCATTCGTCAAGGTTAAAGTGTTAGATACTGTTTCATCGTTTTGTCCATGAGGAAAACCATCTTGAATTGCTGCCACTGGCATCTTCATTTGGGCGGGGTGGGGGTGGGAGACCAGTAAAAAATAAACATTTTGTTAGCATTAATGACACTCCAACTTGATTCTTTCCTGTGTGGTGCCCTTGAATGTGAAGTATAAGAATACCTCCTCCTTGGCAAGCTTCTGCAGAATCATGCTCTTTTCTAGGCGTGTGGGCATCTAGCCACATGGGAAGGTCATTGGAAATCAGAGACAGGTGCTTTGCCAGAAGGCCCTGGCTCCCGCTCAGGGAAGAACAAACAGGGAATTTCTTAGTTTGAGCTCTGGCCAACTTCCCCTCCATCAGTCCTCATGACTGTCCTTGTAAAACTGCCTTAATCAAGGGCAGAGGCTTTGAGGTCATAGTCAGAATATCTAACACCAGCAGAACAGTCACACTCTGGGGACTGCTTAGTGACTGACATTTTAGGCGCTGTCTGGAGGGTGCACTAGATTCTTTCTCCCAGACCCGATATGTATTCAGTATTCCTCATCTTAGTTAATGATCCATTGTCTATTTGGTGGATTACACAGAAATTTAAGAGCCTTTCTTGCCTCTTCCTCTTCCTTTCCTCCATCTGATCTATCAGCAGCCTTTTTGGTCTCTCAAAATTGCTCCCAAATTTATAGATTTCTTTCTCTACTACCACACTCTGGTCCAAGCTACCTTTACCTCTTACCTGCTTATTTTTTTACATACATGTATGTGTGTGTGTGTGTGTGTGTGTTCTATTCTAGTGCTGTCCACTGCTTATAAGCAATCACATAAGTAGCAATGAATACATCTAGTGCCCAGATCTCGATTTCTAACTAGTTACCCACTACAAAGAACCAAGTGTCATCGAAGCAAAAACTAATTCCAAGACTGAGACAGAGAACATTAACTCTGAAGGATTATGCACCCTCACACTCATTGCAGTATTATTTATAATAGCCAAGACAAAGAAACAACCTAGGTATCTATCAGTGGATGAATGGAAAAGAAACTATGATATACATACATACACACATGATGGAATATTATTCAGCCATAAAAAGTTTACCTCCTACTTCCAATCTATTCCCCAACTGCATTTTTCCATGTTGTAGCCAAAGTTACCTTTTTAAAATAATGATCATGTAATGCCTTTGCTTAAAATCCTAGAGTATTTTTCTATTGCTCTTATAAAGATCAGAGTCCAGTATGGCTCATAAGTCGCTGCCTAGTCCACCTCCCCATTCTCATTTTTCATTGCTCTCCCTGCGTACCAGCCACCTGTGTCCGCATTCTTCTCTACTTGCTGCCGAGCACATTCACAAGTTAACTCCTATTTAGCTTGCAGTTTTTGGCTCAAGATACTTCCTGAGGGAATCTTTCCCTCAGCCTCAGTCCAGGACAGATTCCTTTTTTGTGAGGTCTCATAGAACCATGTTAGTCTCTCAGAGCACTTAATGAAGGTGTAATTAAAATATATGACTATTTGAAGACCATCTACATCTTCCATTAGACCTTTAGCTTCATGAAAGAAGGGATTATGTCTTTTCAAATAAGCATTGTATCCCCAGTGCCTGGTTCATGGCTGGTACCTCAATAAATGTTTATTGAACTAATGTTTCATTTGCATTGACACATTTAGATAACACGAGTGAGCAGGTCAAGCATTTGGACATTTTACAGATGGACAAATAAAGAATACATAATGGCAGTGAAAGGTCATGAAAATAGCTATGTGTGTCAGTTTCAGTTCAGACTGGCAAGTGGGAGTGAGGATCATGCATTCTTTGATAAATCTAGGAAGATTTTTTTAGAGTGGGTGTATCTTTAAAAGCTGTTCAAAAAGTTCAAAGCTGGTGGGGATTGGAAGTAGGGAGAGAAAAGGAGAGCTTTTGGCTATCTAGTAAAAAAAATCCAGACCCAATTTCTGTTTTCTAGCTTCCTCTAAAACAGATCCATAAGCCTACATACTCTTTTTCCTTGTATTTGGGATAGGATGTTGGAGGGGATGCGGAGGCATGGGGTCTGTGTGCTCCAGCGGAGAAAACCAGAGAGGTGAGGAGTCTGATACTCTCTTATATCCTCCTATGGTCAGCTCCATTAGAGTGTTAAAGGGAATTCAAGGAGGGGGAAAAAGATTTCAGTAGCTTGGCTGAGGCCAAAGAAAGGATGAAGAGGCATAGTGTCCAGCAAGGGAAGGAAAGCTGAATGACTAGTCCAAGTAAAAGATGACAGGCCTCTGTACCGATGAGCAGGAGGAAAAGCATAGGGTAGAACAGCCAGCCAGCATCAGGCAACTGGCTCTGGGGAATACAAAGTTGGTGCGACAGAGGATTAAATCAACCTGAGTTTCTTTTGGGCTCTGGGGGCAGGTGATGACCTTCTTTATGAACAGAAACTGGATACCAAAAGAGCTGTGAAATATTTGGTTGCAGTACACTGGGATTACACAAATAGTTGTTATGTAAAATAACAATTTCACATAATGTTATGTGTTAATTTACTGTGGGGTACAACATGTAACCTTTACTTTGCAATATAATATAACCTTATCTTTGAGTTATTTTCAAAGTAGAGTTCACTTATAGCTTTTAACTTATTGGTATTTCACAAATAATATATTTTAAGTGGACTAACAATGTCACATACCCCAAATGTTCTTCGGTACCAAATAAGGTATTAATTATATACAGATTGTATTAATTGTATATAAATATAAGTAGACACACATCCATGCATGTGCATATACACACATCCATAAAATATGCATAAATGTTCACATATACATACCACTTTCTCTGGTATTTTTCCAGCCTGACTTTCAGTCTTGCCTTCAGGTTTACTGGGTTCCTCCTCATAATTGTTGGCTTCCTTGGAGATCAATTTTTGTAAAACCTCTGCTACTTCATCTTCCAGTGTGTGTGCCTGGCTCTCAGTGATCTGTTATGAAGAGTTAAGACATATGTAACTGTTATTCTCATTTTTGTGATTTAAAAAAATCTAGACTAAACTCTGTAGTTGAACACACATTTTTAGAAGATGAGAGAATCTTCTGGTCCCTCTTTCTGGAAAACCCTTGTTGATTCCTCTACTAGTTGCTGGCCATTATAGTGACTGCCCAGAACTGACCCGAACTGAGGAAGAGTTAAGCTGGATTGGTTAGAGATTTCCAAACACTGCATGACTGCTCACATTTTCTTCTCACATCGTACATCTTTTACTGCAGCTGGTTAAATACTAACCATCCTTTAACTTTAAACACCTCTTTCCCTGAAGCATTTTTTTTTATTGCCCAGCTAAATAAAGTCCATCCTCTGGCATATGCTGAACTGCTCTTACGGTTTTGCAGCTTGCATTATAGGCACGTGTGTACTTGTCTAGTTCCTCTGATAATGGTAAGTTCATAGAGGCAAAGAATGGTATCTTACTCATTCCCAAAACCTGATATAAATGTAGATGCATTATAAACATCTGGCTACTTGAATCAGGTAGCTTGGTTTCTTAGCATATTCCAAACTGTACTAAAAATTAGGTTTATTCTCATACATGACTTACTAGGCCAAGATTCAGCAGTTTAGAAACGATCTTATCAAACACTCCTCTGTCATTTTCCTCATAAATCCTGGTAGCAATTTTCTGGACAATGTCTTCAGCAGTTAACGGAGTTCCGTCTAGTTGATGAAGGCCATCTGGATCATCTAGACAGAGCAATGACAGTTTCATGTCACAGTGATCACAGAGTACTTCATACTCTATAATCTATACCTTGCTTTTGTATCTCATATTATGTTTGGAATACATTTATAGTGTTGCTTGGTCTATATAGACTCTGGGTTTGAAATGATATTTGACTTCAAGTTAAGAACCTAGGATGATAATGGAAATTCTGAAAGCTTCGTAGGTATTAAGAGGAAGAAAGATCTGAAGACAGCATGAAAGGGCTCTCCATTTTTTATTCTCACTAATAATATAAACAGTATTCTACTTTTAACTTTTATTTTATGTTGTGTTTATATAGTATGCCATATTGTTCAAAGCACCCTTCTACATATTATATAATTTGATATTCCATTTCAACACAAGTAGACTGGTGATATTCACACATGCATTCCTTTGCTGGCAAATTCCTGGGCTGAGGGTGCAACAGATTTATAACAAAGCAACATGTAAATCTATGTAAATCTATGCAGAGAAGCTTATAAATATGTATCACTGGCTTTTCTGGGAATATATCAGGCAGTACCACTCCAGACTAAAGCAAGGGCCCATCCTGAGGGAAAAGGATGCAGTAGGGTAGGTGGCAAGAAAGCTCTGCTCCACATCCATGGGGAACTCCCAGCAATCAATTGGTCTTTTCTAACCTAAACTACATCAAGCAATATATTAATGTGTACAAGTTTACAAGGCATTTAACTCTCTTTCATCTCTAGGCAGATTGGAAATAGGAGAATTTTAGCCCCAGTAATACCACCTGTTATCCATATATCCTCGGACTATATTGTAAAGAAAGATAACAGGATTATCTATTTCATGGGATTGTTGTCAGATCAGATGAAATAAGATGCAAACATACCTTTTATATTGCAAAGTACTATATGAAAGCCAATGTACAATAAAGCTAATATTATTATATGCAGTGGATTTGTACCTGAAATAAAGTCATTGTCTTCTAGAGAAAATAGAAATTGAATCTCTGCCCAAATAATTCTGGTCACATTCACTCAAAGAAAGAAGAACCTAGTATTTCTATTCTGATTCTCTTTTTCTTCCATGGGTTTTGGGGATTCAAACAAAGAATTTCTCTTACGGACTTACTTCCAGATTCTGTGGAGATGGAGATATATGCAGCCTCAGGCAGAAATCTTGTTTGGAAAGAAGCTTAGGAAAATGAGTAGGGTGGTTAGATATGGAAGATTGCAAGTTCCCTGACAGTACATGATTGCTGAGCTGTCGGCCAGTCAGGAGCTGTCAACCCTTTAAGCCCTGTGTACCAAGGTGACTAATGAGCGGAGAAGCCCTAAGAAAAAGAACTATGAAGACTGCTCCCCTCCTGGCTGACTGAAAATTGGGTTCATCATCCATATTCTTAGGAGGAGAGACTCACTATCAACTGGGTCTGATTTTCCCATTTGTGGGTTGCAAGAGAAACTCTTGGGAATATGCGGAGTAGAAACTGCCTGGGTCTATGCTGAGGGAAAGAATTTATTTCTCTCCCCACTTAGCCCTCAGGATCTGTAAAAAAGAATATTGGTTGCCTGCAAGAGCTGGAAAATAACTGAAATGACTGTGTCAGTTCATTTACTTCACCACAGAGAAAACACTAGAAACATTCTGAAGAAATGGCCTCTTTTTTTTGCTGCACTGCTACATTCTCCTGAGCCAGGAACTTAGGCTTCCTCCCTGAGAGCTTTGTTAGATGGGGTTAATGGCTGGGCCCTTGGGCATTGTTCCTTGCCTTCCAGTAACTTCCCACTGCTCCTCTGAAATGGGCAGAATTACTCAGAATAACTTCTCCACTGCTTATGATGGGGTATTTCACCCTCTTGAATTGATCCTCAGAGGGAAGCCACACATGAGTTCAACAATTATAACTTTCTTAAAGCAGCTACAACGTTCTAAATGGATGTGAAAGGGCCATTTTCCAAGTTGTTACTTTCCCAGTTATGTTTTGAATCCTTACCATCTAATGTGACACTTGACATTCATTTGTTCAATATATTTTTATTGAAGTTTTAATATGGGCCAGAACAGAAAGAGAATGACAGATTAGGCATGGTCCCTAACTGCACAGAGCTTATTATCTAGTTCATAGTTGGAAACATAGTAATTGTTCAGTGAATATTTGTTTGGTGAATGCACACAGGAGCCCCAAAGCACTACTTCATAAAAGAAACTTGGAAAAAAGTTCTGAATCATATATACTGTAGAAACACTGCAAAGGAGAATTGAAGGGCCCTACACCATAAGCCCATTTGGAGGTTTCCTGAAGGTGTGAAAATACTTTGAAGAAGTTAGGCCCCCACACTCTCCTGGGATGTAAGTCTGCATGCCTCCGAGGTTCTAGTCACCTTCACAGTCCCAAATCCCCTTATTTCAGGAATTCCCAGTATAAAAGGAGACCAGGAATTCACTTATATTCTAAGAATCTCCTCTATAATCTGAAGTGGACTTCAAATGACTCCTAGGGTAACTCAGAGCCCTCAGGCTAGTACTTTGTAGTTTGGAACCCATTTGGGGTTGTAATACAATGTTGAACAATTTAAAAATAAGTTACTCAAGTTAGTGGTTAGGTCACAAACAGATCTGTGCCTCTGCCTATATATATATAACTAATCTGACCAACAAAATTCAGTCAAACAAACTTTAGAACTATATATATTTTTTATTAGATCAAATGATCACTTCAAAGTGGTTGAATCTGTTTTGTATGCAGCTATGCCCAGTGTCTATTTATTTCTAGGATAAATATTTTAGGTTAAAAATAGAATTCAGAAAAAAAATTCCCCTAGTATGAAATATGAAAGGTTTCAAAATATAAACCCCCACCCCATACATGCACAACACACTTCTGAGCTCTCCTCAGGCTATGAGAGCTGATGAAAGTCAAATTTAATTGGTAGTTGTTTTCTGGCAGAGATAATCAACATAATTCTCTGTAGCCATGGAACAGAATAGGGACATATAAGACCCATAGTAACTCCTAAGCACTCGTCCTCAGAATGGAAAACATGCTTTCTTCCTCAATGCCTAGGTATAATAGGTCACTGGTTCCCTCATATATTCTTTTATTTCTTCATTCATTCATTCACACAATGAATTCATGAGCATTCAGACACTGAGGCTACAATGTTTCTGTTCTAGTGAGGTTTTCAGTTTAGCTGAAGAGAAAGACATAAATCATAAGCAGTCACACTTAGGAATGTAAAATTGCAAACAGCATTAAATGCCATGAAGGAAAGAGACAAGGTTTCTATCAGATCACGTATGCTGGATGAAACTAGAAAAGTAGACAGGAACTAGTCCGTGCAGGACTATGGAAGCCCCATTAAGGAATTTGTTTTTCATCCCAGCAGAAATAGGAATTTACTAACAGGCTTTACACAAAAGAGGGACATATTCATGTTTTCCTGTTGAAAAGACCATTCTGACTACTATGAGTTGGACAGGGGACAAAGTAGATGCTGGAAGATGCATTAAAAGATATTGCTATAGGTCACTGAGACATGATTGGAGCTTGGACAAGGATGGTGGTAACTTGGAATAGAGAAAAAAATAATTGAGAGATGCAGGAGATGAAATTTACAAGATTGGTGGATTAGAATTTGAGAGGTGAGGAAAAAAAGGAATAGTTTGATTCCTAGATTTGTCTTGACATATGAGATAGGTAGTAGTATTTTTCCTGGAGAAAGAGCATTCCAACAAGGATAGGCTGTGAGGTGGACAGAGATTACGAGTTCAATCTTGGACAGGCTAAATATGAGGGGCTCCTTAGACTTCCAAGGGAAGATGTTAAATAGATAGACAGATATATATGTCCTTAGTTCAGAGGAGTCTGGGCTAGTGATATGAGATACTGGACCTAGATAGTAATTGAAGCCATGGAAAAGTTAGAACGGCCTAGGGAGAGAGGATATGGCTAAGAAGAGAACACTGAAAAGGAAGGTAATGGATATTTTGCATTGGATGGGGGACTGGTTTTTTTTTACTATTATGACATTTTATTTGTACTAATAGTTAAATTGGTATGTTAAAATGAATAACACAAAATATAGATAGTAGATTTAAATTTTTTTCAAAGCAGCAGTAAAGAAACTTCAAAGAGAAAATAAAATTGGGCTGTGGTGGAGCAAGGGCCTCACACATTACCCATAAATTTGGGCTTTACTTCAATTTTGGTCATGACTAATTAAGGACTATAAGTGTATAAGAGAGATTTTTTAAATATAAGACTCTTGTTTCACCCATAATGGGAAAGACAGAGACAATAGGAAGCAAAAGTTCTTTTTCCTCATTTACCTTGGAATTTATGATCCGGTCCACTCTTAGTAGAATCATAATCATCATTCAGTTTTCGATTTTTGGTTGAATCAACATCTTCCACATTCAACTTATTATCATATGGAGACCTTATGGATTGTCTTTCTTTCTCAATTTTTTCCTTTTCTGTTATTGCCTTTAGCAGGTTCAAGTTATCAACAAAGGAATAATTGCTTTCACCTGACTTATTTTCTGGAAAAAACCCCCAAGACCCAACACATCCATTTTAGTTAAGATTCTCATACCCTACATTATTTCAATTAATATCCATATAATTTATTTTTACCTGGAGGGTATGTTTTTTTAATCTTCTCTGCTTCTGCTTCAGCAATCTGTGAAGCAAACAGGTGATAGACTTAATTTTAAATCATTGCTTTACCATTTACCAAATATGACAGCTAATAATTTAGTCTCTATGGGATACAGTTTTCTTGTCTGTAAGTGTAGATAATAATTTCTATCTCTAAGCATTGTCATAAGAATTAAACGAGATTTTAAAAAGGCAGATGGTCTATAAATATTAATTCTGTTCTATAATTTTTAGCCATCTGTCACCAAAGATATTACAATATTAGTGACTATATTCCCTATGCTGCACTTCTCATCCACTGACTTACTTATTTTATAATTGGAATTTTGTGTCTCTTTATCCTCTTCACCTATTTTCCCCATCCCCTACACCCTCCCCCACCCCTATGGCACCAACAATTTGTTCTCTGTATTTGAATCACTTCCTGTTTTGTTTGTTCTTCTCCTATAATATTGGTGAAAAACAAATCGTTAATAAATTAGGCAGTCTTATAATTGAGTGGATGTGATATTGAGCTTACTGGGTTATTACAGAGTCAGCTCTGTGTATGATCAGAATCCTATGTATGTAATTGTCAGGAATTACCAAATTTTGGGTAATAGAAATTACCATAACTGTATTTCCCATTCTAATTTCTATAGATTTATTATTAAGTTTCTTAAGTTTGTGAATTCAAAATGGCTAAAATGTCACAACATAATTACATTAAATAATAATAACTAAAGTAAAATGTAATATCATTTATAATTTTACATTTGACCTACCTGTTCATTCAAAGGTCTTTCTGCACTTAATTCCCTATTATGTAGGGGTTTGTCTAGAATAAATACACACAAATATAAATTTAAGTGTGCATTGAAAAGACATGATATGTCTCATTACACAAAATCTTCAACAATGAAAAGCAAATATTAGGAGAAATATTTTTGAATGACTGCGAAATAAGAATGTATATTAACAAAGATAATCAAGATGACCCAATAATAATGATCACTATGTTGCCTTGCTCATTATCCTGGTGTATTTCCTGAGCTAATAACATTACACTCTTTATCTGACCAGGAAATCTAACATACATTTCTAACACTTGGTTTACCAGCTGTTTTCAACTTGACAGAGCATAATTAGGGCTAGCATTATTGACACATTAAAAGCTCTTTTATCATACCCTGCACATACTATAAATAGAATATCTGACAAAGGTTGTAAAACAACTAGAAAAAAAGCCAAGCCACTTTATTAGGCAGAAAAGCTGCCTCCCCCCCATTTTCAAAATAAGGTATTTCAAAACAACCCATGTTATTGCTCTATCATTTAAAAAGTGAATGGGGAGAGGAAGCTGTCTTCTGTCTCTAAATTCGAACTGATTTCTCTGTCAATATGCATGGATACGATCAGATCAGAAAATGAGGCAAGGTGATTTACAGTTCACGTATTATGCTAAGCTTTACCTTCCGTGGCGAAATAAAAGAAAGGTGGGAAAGAAAGTGTTCACGTACCTTGGCTGCCTCCCGGTTTGGGGAAAGCTTGAACTGGGCTGCTGTGGAGCACCAACACCAGAATCCAAGTGCCGGTCCAAAGGAACCCCATTCTTCCGCGCTTGGCTTCAGAAACAGCCTGGTGCCTGGCTCCCGGCGCGGTAGCTTTGTTATGAATGAAAAGGAGGAGTAAAAACAGGAAGAACTAAGAGGGCGGGTGCAGAGAGGGAGAGTGGCGGGGACTCGGATGCTGGGGGAGCTTCCCGAGGCTCGGGAGTAAAGCGAGTAGAAAGGCTCAGGGCTCTGGGGAGTCAGGTCTTCAGGTGGAGGGGAGCGCTGTCCGCCCCTTGGGTGCTGAAGTTCCTGTGACGCGAAGCCGGCTGCGGATCCCCTAGGGCGTAGCCTTACTCTCGCTCCCTCCTTGAGAGGAAGTGAGGGAGGAGGCGCATGCTCCCTGCGAGACAGAGGCGGGAAGGGATGGCGTAAGCAGCTCCAGCGCTACTCCGATCCCCGAGAATGGAAAGGGGAGGGGCGATAGACTGGTTAGCGTATTTTCTGTGCCGCAGTCCTGATGGTGCTTCTGTGCTCAGGGTCACCTGGATTGCCATAAACTTGGACATCACTGTAGTAACCTTCCAAGTAAACGTTACCTCAAGAACCTAATGACTCCTCTGCCGGTGTACCTGTCAAGGAGAGAGCTAGATGACCTTGGTTGAGGGGATCTGTGGGATTATTCTGGGAAATCTGCTCCACAATCCCTTCTTTCCATTCCACCTGTACCCACAAGGATTCTTATATCCTCGAATTTTTATATCCTTAGAAAAGCCCTGCCTCTTGTGATTTGGGTTGATATATCAAGCATCCCTTGGTGTTCTCATTTGTGTCTCGGCTCTATGCAGTGTTTTGAATTGGGAAATTCAGAACATTCTTTCAAATAGATTGCTGCAACACACTCTCCTTGTCCTACATGCTGAAACAGAACTAAAAAAAAAATCGTTGCCTGTTCTCCTAAGAGTGAATATCCCCCATCAGGTCTGTGGGCAGCAGGGGCCAGTTTCAATGTAAAATTTCCCCTTTCCCATCAAGAGGGAACTCCCTCCTCACTACAACCACTACAAAAGAAAAAAGAAAGAGAAAAAAAGCTGCACCTTATAAAATTCTGTATTCATTTATGCTTAAGGATCAGGATGTTGTGGCGGGTGGGGGGACTTAAAGAGACAGAATAGTCACGTAAAGCATTTTATATCATAACTAGGTCACGGAGGTACTTCCTATATTCTGAATATATTGCCAGAACCCTAAGATCATTGCATAAAAGGAACTATCGAAAGACTTTTAAACGATGAATACAAGCAACACTAATGTGAGTAGGGTGCTGAGTAAGCCCTTTAGTCTCTGATTTTTAAACAGAGCTTGGACCCTTTCCTTTAGACTGCAGCATGCTGGGAACCAGTCTGAATAATGACCAAAGAGAAGGATTCAGCACAATCGGGCCTTTGATTTCTGTACCCCTGCTATTCAAGGAGCAAGTTAGTCATTCAAGTACCTACAAACAAACAAACAAGCTAATGAACAGATCTCCCTCATTCTGGAGGTTTTTAAGTTTGGAAGTCACTCGAATACTTTCTTTATGAATATAAAGCGTATTTTAATCTAACAGCTACCTCAAAACAAATAGCTGTTTCTTGGCAGTGATAACACAGTATTATTATCCCAGTATACTGCATTAACCATTTAAAATCCCAACTAAATAGAGGGTAAATTTCCTTAAATTCCTCTTCTCTGAAATAGAGATGGCAGAATTTGTTTACCTTATATTGTTATTGTGGAGATCAAATGGCACATATTTTGATTAAGTCATTTTGATGTCAGGAATATTTTGATACAGCCTACAAATTGTTGTGAAATGTCTTCAGCTTTTAAGAAATATTACTAAATATTATGTGACATAGCTATTCGCCAATGACATTCCTGGCATTCTGTTGATGACCTGATTCCTCAGCCTCACTCTGTTCTTTGTCCCTTCCTGACTCACCTCTCCCCTCCATGTTTGTTTGCAGTTGGGAGAGGCTCAGGATGGAATGAAGGATGAGCACATTGCATTGCTTGCCAAAAACAAAAAAAGGTATTTGACCTTTCTCTGACATCTGTACTCAAAGTGACCTTGTTAAATGGATACTAATCTAGGAACATGTTATGTTTCTGATCAAATGAGCTGTGAAGCACTGAGTAACTGTAAGGCATGAATTAGTTTACATTCCTCAGTCTTCTGGATGTTTCCACTGGACTTAGTATAGGTCTATGAATGGCGTAATCCTAAATTTCATTTATTTACTTATTCATTTAACAGATGATTTTTTAACATTTGAAATACACCAGGTATTGAGATCATTGTTGGGTATACAAAGACAAGTAAGATACGGTCTTACAGCCTAACAGGGAGAAAGGACTGTAATTATAACAACAATAACAACCCCCGCCACACTATTTACTGAATAGGTTTCATGTGCTATACATTGATCTCATTTAAATATAAGTGAATTAACCACAGGCATATATTATGGGTCTTCTGTTGTGTGTGCAGAGTTCAGGAGGGGCGTTTAAATAATGGAATGAATGGTCAGGAAAGGTTTCAAAGAGATGTCTCTATTTTTTTAATAATGAAGAGATTAAAATATTTGGTTATTGTATGTAAACACACTGTAACCATTGAATAATGTCCAATATGTTGAAATTATAAGACAAGTATCATTGACAGATCAGATAATCATGAAACAGTCAACATACAGTTAGTTCACAGTGGGTTTGTGAGTGCTGCGAGTACATGCATGAACACATACATGCGCTGACTGTCGTGTGCTCATTCACTGGTGGAAAAGATGCCTTTTGAGCTAAGTCTTGAAAATAGAGATACTTGAAGGATATTTTTATTTGTTACAGAAAAATTGTAATATTGTTATTTTATTGCAGAAAATTCCAAACACCAAAAGTAGAGCAAATATTGAAATGAACTCCCATGAATTCATTACCCAATGTCAATAATCATTAACTCATGACCACTCTTTTTATTTTATATTCCCAACTACTTTGTACACCCAATGGGTTATTTACCTATAAAAACCCCAAACTTCATATCATTTCATCCATAACTATGTTGGTATGTTTACCTATAAGATAAGGATCCTTTTTTCCCAACATTACTGTAATACTTTTATCATACTTCATAATAATAATATTATCTTATTATCATAAATATCCAGCCAGAGTTCAAATTTCCCCACTTGCCTTAAAAATATTTTTACAGTTGGTTTGCTTAGACCAGGATCCAAACACGGCCATGAATTGCATTTGGTTCGCATATGAGAGACACATATGAATGTACAATTGGGAAGGTAGGTGTTACAAGGTTTTCTTTGACTTTCCCGGACAAATTAGTTACTTCCTCAGAATACTGTGTATACTTCCAGTATAGCAGGTATCCCATTGTGCTGATTTTTGCACACATTTTCTCCTTCTTTAAAAAATAATAAACATGCATTGAAGGAAAAATTCTGAAAATATACATAAACAAAAATGGGGGAAAAATCAACTGATAGAGATTACCACTGCTGACTTTTGGTGAATGTCTTTTTGCAACATGTTTTTTTCAAGAGTGCAGTTTATAAAATTGTATCTCTCACTATGATTATCTGCTTAAATGTCTAGCTATCTATCCCACACAATTGTGAACTCCTCAAGGGAAATGATCTTGTCTTACTCATTTTTAATTTTTCAGCCATTCTTACAGCATCTGGACATCCATTTTCTTAAATAAGTGAATGAAGTGATGGAGTGTTGCCTGTTTACCTTCAGTCTTCAAATGCAGAGACCATGATGGCTGTCCTACATTGGAGGGGTTTGCAGTGCCAGGAGCTGCTAGTTCCTTAAGGAGCTGTTAGCCACTCTGCCAGTATGATTCTCCACTTAGCATTTCCTTTACAAAAGAGTAGTCTTGCAGTAGCAGTGTTCATGAAAGGCATAAGAGCAGAGAGCCAGAGCTGGCAGAGGCCCTCAAGCTACAGAGCTAGGGGAATGATCTGTTGCTGTTAAAGAGACTGACACAGGATACCAGCACTAGAGGTGGCTGCTGAGAGAGCTCCAAGTATAAGGAGACATGGAATCTGGAAATTCACCGTCAGAGGAAAGTTAAAATAACCAAGGAAATGGAAATGAGCAAATAAAAAGACAAATCAGGGAAAGTGAAGGCATGGAAATGGAAAGAAAAGGGTATATGAATAAAGAAGATGGGCCAGAATGACAAGATCTTACAGGTCATTTACAGAGTAAAAGGTGTCACACCTGAATCTGAAAGTGGACAGATGAATGTAGCTGGACAGCAAACTTTCCTTGTTGTTCACTTACTTTGCATCACGCTTGAACCAGATGGGGCCAATCACCTGCCCAAGGGGCCGGGAGGAAGCTGTGAGATGCTATGATTGAAGGCTCCTCCCAGAGGAAGAAGCAGGGTAGAGCAGTTTCTCAGAAGGAATCAGGGTGAGGGTATAAGGAAAACAAAATAACAGTTGCTCACTACACTGTGGAATGTAGTACTTAAGATGGGTGAAAAATATCAGGTTGCCTATTAGCAGTGTGATTCCTATTACAAAAATTGTGTGTGAGTTTTTTATGGGTATGTGAGTTATATGTGTGTATGAGCACAAATAAAGTTATCTGAAGAATTTATTTCCCATAGTATTATTTATAGTGGTTGGTAGGATTTTTCCCTTGTTAATTAAGCAATTCTTAATTCCTTGAATTTTCAACATGAGTATGTATTAGTTTTATAATCAGAAAAAAACTCCAAAAAACAATATAATCTATGTAAATAATTTTATATACTACAAACATGTTCCATGATGTTTCAGACCACTGTAATGAATTACTTTCTTCTGTAATATAAGACTAGACTGTGATAAAGTCAGCAGAGGGGAAATTGAATCTGATGAGAAGGGTTTTTGTCTTCTGTGACATTGCTACTACTACTCGAATGCCATTTTAAACAATTTCCACAAAGCATTATCATTGCTCATATTGTCTTCTTATTGTGACCTCTTTGAGGGGAGAGACTAGTCAGGACTTATCCTTGTAACTCGGTGCCTGGCATATAGTAAAGAGATCAATAAATGCTTGTTGAATTGAGTTTTATCATCCCATAAATCTACCCATAGCAGCTGTCTTCTATAGACTTGGCACCTTTTTCCAAGCCAC